GACAGGTTATACACCAAGAAGGAAGGCACAAGGTTTCTTCCAACCCCTCTAGAATGGAACCCAATCTCTGCACAACAAAGTGCCTTTATCGAACAGCCTTTCACTGAGGAAGAAATATGGAGAGCTGTAAAAGATTTGGGATCAAACAAGTCTCCTAGTCCTGACGGTTACACGGCCGAATTCTTTAAACAATTTTGGAACATTCTCAAGCCAGACATTATGAGAGTGTTCCAAGATTTTTTTAAGAACGGCATCATTAATGCTAGCCTCAACGAAACCTATATTTGTCTCATCCCAAAGAAAGTGGATGCTCGGAAGGTAGGAGATTATCGGCCCATTAGCCTCATTTCTTGCCTCTACAAGATTATAGCTAGAGTTCTCTCAGAAAGGATGAAGAGTTTACTGCCACATACTATTACCAAGGAACAATCTGCATTTGTGGCCGGAAGACAAATCCTAGACGCCTCCCTAATTGCTAACGAAATTATTGAGGATTGGGATAGAAAAAAGAGAAAAGGAGTGGTTATCAAACTTGATATTGAGAAGGCTTTTGACAAAGTGGATTGGGACTTCCTTGATGAAGTTCTTGCAGCCAAGGGTTTCAGACACACATGGAGAAAATGGATTTGGGGGTGTATCTCAACAACAAATTTCTCAATCATTATAAATGGTCGTCCTCGGGGTAAACGTACTGCTTCTAGGGGCCTCCGTCAAGGTGACCCCCTCTCCCCCTTTTTATTTATTATGATTGTTGATGCCTATAGTAGACTTATGACACATGCAGCAAACATCAAATTTATTAAAGGTTTTGATGTGGGAAACAACTCTTTGGCCATTCATCATCTACAATTTGCGGATGACACCATCCTTTTATCCCCATATGATAATCTCTCCCTCACAAACATGTTCAACATCATTAGGCTTTTTGAGGAGGCAACGGGATTAAACATAAATCACTAAAAGTCAGAAATTTTGGGGATAAATCTTGGAGAGGATGAACTGACAGCTCTTCAATCCAAATTTGCTTGTAAATTGGGGACTTGGCCGACCACATACCTTGGACTACCCCTTCATGGTAGGCACCAATCTCTCTCTTTTTGGGACCCAATGATTGAGAAAATTCAGAAACGTCTCCTATCATGGAAATCCTCCTATCTCTCCAAAGGCGGTAGACATACTCTCATCCAAGACACTTTATCGAACCTTCCTACTTACTATCTTTCCCTCTTCCCTTTGCCATCAAAAGTAGCACATACTTTGGACAGCATCTACACAAATTTTTTATGGAAGGGTAACAAAGACAATAGTGGACTACATCTCATCAAAAGAGACACTATATAGCATCAAATCCATATGGGGGGCGTAGGGATTGCTAATATGAAGCTGAAAAACAGAACCCTCCTTGCAAAATGGATATGGAGATTAACTACAGAGGAAACATCTCTTTGGAGAAAAGTGATCGAGGCAAAATTTGGTAAAGCATCATGGAATCTCAAACCTAACTCTACATCACAACCTTCTG